ACACTTCAAGAGAATTTGAAGAGTACTGTTCAAACCATGGAATCAGACATGAAAAGACAGTTCCTGGAACCCCACAACACAATGGTGTAGCTGAGAGAATGAATCGCACCATTGTTGAGAAGGTGAGAAGCATGCTCAGAATGGCTAAATTATCCAAGACATTCTGGGGTGAAGCAGTTCGGACGATGTATTATCTTATCAATCGTAGTCTATCAGTTCCGTTGGAGTTTGACATTCCGGAGAGAGTTTGGACCAACAAAGAGTTGTCTTACTCGCACCTAAAGGTGTTCGGTTGCAAAGCTTTTGCACATGTACCGAAGGAGCAAAGAACCAAGCTAGATGATAAATCAGTTCCTTGCATATTCATCGGATATGGAGATGAAGAGTTCGGGTACAGACTATGGGATCTTGTAAAGAAGAAGGTCATCAGAAGTAGAGATGTAATCTTTCGAGAAAGTGAAGATGGAACTGCTGATGATCTATCCGAGAAGGCCAAGAAAAAGAATGGTATAGTTCCTAATCTTGTTACCATTCCTTCTTCTTCTAACCATCCCATAAGTGCAGAAAGTATGATTGATGAAGTTGCTGAGCATGAAGAGCAACCTGATGAGATTGTCGAGCAGGGGGAGCAACTTGGTGATAATACCGAGCAAATGGAGTACCCAGAAGAAGAACAATCTCAACCTCTGAGGAGATCAGAAAGACAAAGGGTAGAATCAACCAAATACCCTTCCTCAGAGTATGTCCTTATCAATGATGAAGGTGAGCCAGAAATTCTTAAGGAGGTGTTGTCTCATCCAGAAAAGAGCCAATGGATGAAAGCCATGCACTAAGAGATGGGATCTCTACAGAAAAATGGAACATACCAGCTAGTTGAACTTCCAAAAGGAAAAAGACCACTTAAGTGCAACTGGGTTTTTAAACTCAAGAAAGATGGAAATGGCAAGTTGGTGAGGTACAAAGCTCGATTGGTTGTAAAAGGCTTCGAACAAAAGAAAGGTATTGATTTTGATGAAACTTTTTCACCTGTTGTCAAAATGACTTCTATTCAAACTATTTTGAGCATAGCAGCTAGTCTAGATCTTGAAGTGGAGCAATTGGACGTGAAAACTGCATTTCTTCACGGAGATTTGGAAGAAGAGATTTATATGGAGCAGCCAGAGGGATTTGAAGTATATGGAATGAAACACATGGTGTGCAAATTGAATAAGAGTCTTTATGGGTTGAAACGGGCCCCAAGACAATGGTACAAAAAGTTTGACTCTTTCATGAAAAGTCAAACGTACACAAAGACCTATTCTGATCCATGTGTATACTTCAAAAGATTTTCTGACGACAATTTTATTATTTTGTTGTTATATGTGGATGACATGTTAATTGTAGAACAAGACAAAGAGCTGATTGCAAAATTGAAGAAAGATTTGTCCAAGTCATTTTACATGAAAGACTTGGGCCCAGCACAACAAATTCTAGGGATGAAGATTTTTCGAGAACGAACAAAAAGAAAGTTGTGGCTATCTCAAGAGAAGTACATTGAACGTGTATTAGAACGCTTCAACATGAAGAGTGCTAAACCTGTTAGCACGCCTCTTGCGAGTCATCTGAAGTTGAGCAAGCATATGTGTCCTACAACAAAAGAGGAGAAAGAGGGAATGGCTAAAATTCCTTATTCTTCAGCAGTGGGGAGTTTGATGTATGCGATGGTGTGTACAAGACCTGATATTGCTCATGCAGTTGGTGTTGTTAGCAGATTCCTTGAAAATGCTGGAAAAGAACACTGGGAGGCAGTTAAGTGGATACTCAGGTATCTAAGAGGTACCACAAGAGATTGCTTGTGTTTTAAAGGATCTGATCCAATCTTGAAGGGCTATACTGATGCTGATATGGGAGGTGACCTCGATAATAGAAAATCCACTACTGGATATTTGTTTACATTTTCAGCGGGAGCTATATCATGGCAATCAAAGTTGCAGAAGTGTGTCGCACTCTCTACAACTGAGGCAGAATATATTGCAGCTACTGAAGCTGGCAAAGAGATGGTATGGCTGAAACGATTTCTTCAAGAACTTGGATTGCATCATATTGAGTATGTCATCTATTGTGACAGTCAGAGTGCAATAGACTTGAGCAAGAACACCATGTACCATGCAAGGACGAAGCATATTGACGTGAGATATCACTGGATTCGTGAAAAGATAGAGGATGGATCTATGCAGGTCATAAAGATCCCTACTAGTGAAAACCCTTCAGATATGCTGACCAAGGTGGTATCAAGGGACAAGTTTGAGCTATGCAAAGAACTTGTCGCCATGTACTCAAGCTAGAAACCTAGAGCTACCTCCTTCAGGGTGAATGGGTCTGGAGGGGGAGATTTGTGGAGTCCATACCCATTGTAGATAAATATAGCAAAAATGGTTGAATTTTGTTTGTTGATTATTGTTAAAGTCAACAAATGTTGCAACAAAATTCAAAGCTCACCAGTTATTTTTTCAACTAAAATCTTAGCAAGATTTCTACATAGGTGAAAATGTTGAAATCTTGTGTTTCTTGTGATGTCATTGGTGACATCATTAGGAGTAGATTTTCGTATAAATAGAGAGCTCTTGCTCATTTCAAAATACACAAAAAAAAGAATTACAAAGGAGAGAAAAGAAGAGTGAGGCATCACAGAAGAAAATAATCTGTGAGGAAAAATAGAGAGTGTGAGCGGTATTGTAGTGAGGTGGAAAAATCAAAAGAGTTTTATTTCTTTTGAATGTGTAGTGGTCTTTGGAGTTTTACTCAGACATACAAGTGTAAAATCCTTACTATAGTGATATTTGTTGCTCCTCTCGGGTCGTGGTTTTTTCCCTTATTTAGGAGGGTTTCCACGTAAAATCTTGGTGTCATTATTTCTCTTTTATTCTCGTTGATTAACCGTATTGTTGTGTTCCGCATTTGTTGCCTTTATTACCGCAAATATTATTTCTGTTACGGATTTATTCCCAACAAAGCTAACAGAAACTTGTTAGAGACTCTCTTACTGTATATTGGAAGCTATGATCGACGAACGGGAGCAGCTGAATAGGTTGGCCAAGATCATTCAACTGAACATGTAAAATACCATCATCGTTTCCCCATCCGGAATGCATCATATATAATGGGACCCCTAGGTCGCATGGATTGTTCTTTGCTAGCACCAAGACTGAAATAATCAGAGATTAACAGGAAGGTTATCAAACAATTGTTAAGCTCACTTATGTATCTACATCAAATGTCATGCTAAAAGACTGTTTAGTTGAAGTTTTCAAATCCACAAAGTAAATTTATACAAGAAAGATCATATATCATAAGAGCTCAGTACTTGGTGAATTTTTTTATATGATATGAATCATCTCTTGACAATTTACCAGATTGGGTAGCTTGTTTTCATTTCATGGCCAGTTTTGAGGTAGTAGAGTAGAGGCAAAGATTGCGAATTTCAGTCTTGCTAAAGAAATGGACACATTACTCGACCCAAAACACTCACCACCTAGCCATAATAAAATTGGCAACAGCATAGTTAGAGCTAACTCAGGAAATGATACCACATTCTTCATCAGTCATCACCCTATAACTCTATCCATCTGAGTATGCAACACTTATTATGTTGTCAGTTAACCTTTCCTCTATCAGATATGGTAGAGGTATAAGTTTTGTGGTGGGTTTGTCATTCCCTCCATGGTCATGAGGATGTTGGGTATTGTTCTAGTTGAAGAAGTGCATGTTTTGGCGTTGGATGAAGTTGTGATGTTGAAAGTGGTAGTGGAGGTGGTTGAATTGTGACATGCTTGATTGATTGCTTATCAAGATTAGCGGAGTGTGGTAATAAGACTTGTGCATTGTCATTGATTTGGGAATGGGTTATAATGTTTATCTTTTTTGGAGTATTGAGATTTCTATAGGACATGGTATATTATACTTGAAGATTTAGTAATACGTGTTGCAGGACGTGTTTTATTATTATTATTTGTATATGGGCTGATTTGAAAGTGAAGTTGTAGTTTGGTTTGGTTGTGTGGTAGTATGTTTATGTTCCATATCAATTGAATTAGTTTGGTATTTGTGATAGTGAGAGTTTCCGTGTGGGAACTGTGATTTGTTCCCCAAAAGGTGGTATTTAGTTGACAATAGGCCTCCTGGATGAGATTACAGTACGACGGTCAATTGAGGTGTCTTTTCTTTCTCAAATCATTCATTGATAAAATTGGATACTGCTTGTTTGATGTGAGAGTGTGAGTGATAAAAATGAATAATCATCGAATAAAATTTTGATATCTTGTTTACTTGTTATGTTTGAAATAACTTATCTCATCATTTATACCATAGTGATAGAATAACTAGTCTCGGGATAATTAAGATAGGATAACTTTTTCCCAACCAAACAATCTATAACTCTTTGATATTGCTAATGTTGTTGTTTTTTTTGTAGTAAAGCAATTGCATAATATATTATTAATATGTTTTTTAGTTTAACCCCACTTTGCATTTGTATCCTTTTAACTTAAGGTGTGCACAACTATACATTTGAATTTGCATAAAATTAAACAGATAGACTTACACATCCTACATGAGATAAATTTTACCGAATACAGTACACCAGACCAAATGACAAGAGAAATGTCATTCACCTTTGGACAGGATTTGGAAGATCCATATTTCTACTCCCTTGAAGGAACAGATAAAGTGGTATATGGATGAAGTTCCTATGTGTTTTGCCAGTAAAGGATGTAAAAAATATGAAAATGACCGTTTTGCGATGGAACAAAATGACATGGACTAGAAAATCCTCACTGATTGATGACATGATAAATGGTTTCCAATATGGGAAGCTGCCTCTTCAAGTTACGAGACAACATCAGACGGGTTTGATTCAAATTGGAGTAACAGTTGTTATGCATCAATTCATAATACAAACTTCTAACGGTGCCATAACGGACACTACCGCAATCATATAAAGCTTGAATTTGGAAAAGAAGACATAAATTTAAAACATATACCTTTGTAATGAATGAAATGAAATGTATAGTTGCCAACATATCATTCAAAGTAGAAATGTCTTCCATCCAAAACATTCTTTGCAAGAGAAAATAGAATCGCTAACCTGCTTAGCGGCTCCATGAGCATGTAAAGCTTTGGTTTCCATGACCAGTACCACCAATGCCTTACCAAAACTCCAAATCCATGCTCTACCTTAACTATATTCTATTTACCTGTCCCATGCTTTTAACTACAAGCAGGCCATAGGAATTTATGCATACAGTTTCCAAAAAAAAATCGCTACATAAAATGGGTACTACCACTAATGTTGTAAACCAGGGGGGAAGATAAATGAGGAAAGACTTGTACATTTCCCCTGCAGCCATGTCAGCTTCATGCTGCTGTTGTTGAGACAAATGAACATCTCCCTTAGACTGGGATTGTCGAATAAATCCAAAGCTGCATAGTAAAGATTTTCTGGAATGCCTTCTATCTCATCCAAAGCTTTGATACATTTACGGATTGTAAATCTACCATCAACTTGAGGCATTACAACTGTCTGAAACTTTGAAGCAGCAATCATATCCCCCATAGCTTCTACCATAGCATCAATTATCTCTCTATCCCCGCAGTTCTGGCCTGAAGCAGGAACTATATCTGATGGACACTTTCTCTTCTTACCAGCTACAGTTCTTGTTGTAGTTTGTGGTAAAGTAGCAGTACTGTTTAAAGGAGTTGATGAAGGAGGAGCCAAGTTGCCACTGTCTTTAAATGAGATATCTATCCCAGCAGATTTGTCCAGCCCTTCATAGTGACTTGATTGGGCATACTTCCCATCAGCACCCGAGTCAGCAAATATTGTGCACAGCTGCTCATAGATAGGGCACTCCTTGGTTTTACTCGATTCAGGCTTCGGCTGAGCCTGTTTTCCATGAATCTGTTAGGAAAATTGGGGGAGGGGGAATTGAAAACACAAGCATATATAGAAAGAGACTGAGAAATACCCCGATGTCTTCCCATAGGTCAAAACCAATGTAGCAAGAATCATCCAAAGCATCATTTTGATCAGAAGCAGATTTAAGGTTGTAATAACGAGTTCGCAACACATCAAGGTGCTTTCTTAGTTGGTTGTTATTGAAATGAAGATTTGTCTGTCTATTAAATTCATCACGTATATAATTCCAAGTTTTCTTGTCAAAGACATTGTTCGGCCGGTTCCCCAGCTTAATCTGCTCAACAACAAGGTCAGCAAAAACCTTGTCCAGGGAGGGTGTCCATCTTGTTCTCAAGCGTTCTTGTTTATGTTGCATTTCATTCGCTTCAGAATCCATCTGTAGTGTCAAGGACATCATTACAAGTGGGAATGCATTAATAACCAACATATAAACAAATTTATAGGATAAGGCTACAAACATTAGGTATCCTGCTTTGCATGTGTATCATAGTAATGTCAAGTATCATATCAGTTGCCTGCTCAACGAACCAACCTGGCTTGGGGCTCAGCCCCCTATATTTTAGCTCGGCTCAACTCAACTCGTTTTTGGTCAAATTTTGGCTAGTTGAAAGCAGTCACAACAATCCTTATATGAGAATAATGACACAAAATGAGTAGAAAGTTCAGATATGTTTAATTTATCCATGAAAATTATAGTATCTGCATGCAAGGCATGTATTTCAAACCAACTGAAGACTAATGGAAACCACTTCTCCACAGATTCAAGAACTGATCTATACCTTCAATTTTACGCCCTTTCTGAGAGTCATTCTTCATACAACTAAAACAGTGATGGGAAGCAACTAAAAAAATAACAACTGAGGCAGAAAGTGAGCAGTCTATGCATAAAACAATTGTCTGTGATACAAGAATTTGTTGCCTAAAAATGACAAAAACAAATTGTCATACTACTAACAGAAAAATCAACATGTGCCACCATATTACTATATTTGTCCATAAAAGTAATTCTAGAGAAAATGTATCTCAGCTCATCCAAGAAGGAAATGAATGCTCAAAATGTGAAATGAAGGGCCTTAAACCAAATATATAGACTTAATTCTAATTTTCATTCTTGTGCCAAACTTTTAAGGAAAGATCAAGCAGCTAGTGGACGTTTCAATGGTCACTATGACCATTGGAGTATACTGATGGGGAAAAAATTAAGGTCAAAGGAGTATTGGCCAATTATCCAGGACGACATCGGTGCTCCGACAGAAGGCGAAACTTTGACAAATGCTCAAAAGGCATAGTCCGAAGCAAGAAAGCTGAAAGATTTGAGGGCAAAATATTAGTTTTTTCAGGCTATTTTCAGGCTGTTGAACGTCTCATCTTAGAAACTATTATTTGCAAAGGAACTTCAAAAGATATCTAAGACTCCATTAAAAAGAAACATCAAGGCACTGCCAAAGTGAAGCACGCACAGCTTTAAGCCTTGGAAGCGATTTTGAGACTTTGCAGATAAAGGAGAGCCTGTAATGAGTTATTACACTAGAATAATGGAGATCAACAACAAAATGTGATTCCACTGCGAGAAGATGAAATGTCACAATTGTGGAGAAAATATTGTGCTCTTTGACGCTGAAGTATGATTATGTTGTTTGCTCCATTGAGGGGTCAAAAGATATAGATGAGTTATCACTTGACGAGAAGCAAAGCTCCTTAATGCTGAATGAAGAAGACTGCAACAATTCAACTTCTGATAAGCAGGCCTTGAAGGCTTATACTTTTATTTCTTCCAATTCTAGAGGAAAGGGTAGAGGTAGAGGAACAAGGAAAGGAGATCGAGGAAATATAGATAGGTGCAGCAAAGATGCATCGGGAATTTAAGAGCCAATGATGACTACAGCAAAGGCAGAGGGAGAGATTTTGACAAATCAAAGGTAAAAATTAAAATGTTATCTTTGCCAAAAATTTGGTCATTATCGTACTCAATGTCATACTAGGTCTGCCTAATGAGAAAAGAAAAAAAAAGTCAAATTTTGCTAAGAATAAAGAAGGAGAAACCTATTCAATTGTGGTTCACGCTAAAACGAGCTTTAGGAGCAAGTTATTTGGTACATGGATACTGGCTACAGTAACCACCACGTGATTGAAAGTAAATCTTCTTTTGCTGATTTAAATGAAAACTTCCGGTGGGCACTTAGTTCCAGTGCAATCTCAATTGTGAATGTGATGGAAAAGGGTGATATACATTTTAGAGCCAAGTGCAAGACTTATATCGAATGTGTTCTAGTTCCTGTTTTGAAATGCAATTTATTGAGTGTCAATCAACTGGTAGAAAAAGAGTTCATCACCTTAAGGAATGACACATGTGAAATTTATGATCCATCTAGAAGAGTCATAGCTATTAAAATGTTCAGAACTGCTCTATGGTGGAAAGTGAAAAATCCTTCATGGTTATTTTCGATGTGGTCACTTGAACTTTGGTGGCTTGAAGATCCTTCAACGGAAGACGGTGCTTCCTGAAAATGTTGTTCCCTCCTGAATTTGTGAAGAATGTGTTGTTGGCAAACAATATCATTCTTAGTTTCCTAATAGTAAGTCATGGAGAGCTAAGGAGGTACTGTGGTTGGTGCACTCGGATATCTGAGGGCCAATAAATCTAATCTCTAAGGGTGGTAAAAATATTTTATTCACCTTTATTAACGATTATTCCAGGAAGACTTGGGTGTATATTTTACAGTAAAAGACTGATACTTCTAACATATTTAAGAAGTTGCTAAGCTCATGAGGAGAATGAGACAGGAAGAACTAGTATGAACTTTCACACAGATACGGCGGGGGATACTGCTCTGAGGTATTTGATGATTTTTGTGGGACTCGTGACATTTGGAAAGTGCTCACAACAGCATATACACCACAACTAAATGGTGTGGCAGAGAGGAAGAATAGAACCATTCTCGACACAGTTGTTAGCTTGTTGGCTCGAGGAAGAGTTCCAAAGCAATTTTGGTTGGAAACAGTGAATTGAAGCATTCACATCTTGAATAGAACTAGTTTTGCTCTTCGAGATGCTACATCTAAGGAAGCTTGGAACGAAAGGAAAGCGGCAGTAGACCACTTTGAAAATTTTGAGTCCATATGCTTATGCACATATTCCAAAAGTAAAAAGAAATTATCTTGACAATAGAGGTGAGAGATGTGTTTTGTTGGTGTAGTTCCAAGGCGTACAAGATGTAAAATCCATTAACAAAGATACACAGACCAGCAGAGGTGTTGTTTTTTGATGAAGAGAGCATTTGGGATTGGAATATGAAGCAGCTTACTCCAATCTTAGTAGATAATCAAGGCAGAGAAGTAGCTGCAATACATTAAATTTATGAAATTTCTACTCCAGCAAATGTTATCCTCTTACCACCAACTTTGGAAGTAACTGATGCAGCGGATAAGTCACTTCGTCGTGCTTGCAGAAGGTCGACATGGATGATGGATTATAAGGTAACAGGAATTGATGTTATCGAAGATGTTTCTCACTTTACATTGTTTGTAGATAGTGATCCTACATCTTTTGAGAATGTTAGGAGAAATGGAGAAAAGTAATGGATGATGAAATTGATGTTATTGAAAGAAATGGCACTGGGGAGTTGTCAGATCTTCCAAATAGACACAAAAATATTGGTGTCAAGTGGGTCTACAAGACGAAACTGAAAGAAAATGGTGAAATTGTCAAGTACAAGGCGTGATTGGTGGCTAAGGGATACAAGCAGGAGTATTGGTGTGGACTACACTAAAGTTTTTGCTCCAGTTGCAAGCCATGACTTATATGATTATAATGGTGATTGTCGTGCTGACACAAAATTAGTGGCTTGTCTTTCAATTGGATGTCAGATCAGCTTTCCTGCATGGATACTTGGAAGAAGAGATATTTATTGAACAGCCTTTGGTTAAATTAAAATTGGAAATGAGCATAAGGTATACAAATTGAAAAGGGTTCTTTATGGACTAAAACAAGCTCTGCGAGCTTGGTATAGTTGCATTGTGGCTTACTTTCTAAGAGTTGGTTTCCTCAAAAGTCCATATGAGCACTCTCTTTTTGTTGAAATTGGATAATCTGGGAGAATACTCATTGTGTGTTTATATGTTTATGATCATATATTTACCAAAAATGATCGTGTCATGTTTTCTGATTTCAAGAGGTCTATGATGATTTGAATTTGAAATATCTGATCTTGGTAAGATGCATTAATTTCTTGGTTTATAAATAGTGCAATTGGATGATGGGATATTTGTTTCCCAACAGAAATATGCGCGGAAAACTTTAGACCAATTCAAGATGAAGAATTGCATCTTTTCAATACTCCAATTGAGTTTGGCCTAAAGCTAAGCAAAGATGTAAAAGGAGATAGGTTATACAACACATACTACAGACCATCTGCAGGTAGCCAGATGCATCTTACTGCTACAAGGCCCGACATCATGTATGTTGTAAGTCTTATAAATAAATATATGGAGAGCCCGACAGAAGTTCACCTGCTAGTTACTAAGAGAATCCTTCACTACTTACAAGGAACTAAGGATTTTGCTTTGTTATGTAAGAAAGGTGAGAAATTTGGTTTGTTAAGTTTTGCTGATAGTGATTATGCAGGAGATCAAGATGACAAAAAGAGCAGTCCAGGCTATGTTTTTATGCTTGGCACAGGGTTGTTTCGTGGTCTTCCAGGAAGCAAAAAATTGTCACTTTATCGAGTACTGAAGCAGAATCTGTTGATGCTAAAACTTGTGCTTGTCAAGTTGATTGGCTGAGAAGAACTCTTGAAGAACTACAATTCAAACAAGAAACGAGAAACTACAATTTTCAGCAACAACAGCTCTGCCGTCAAGCTATCCGAAAATCTTGTGCTATATGGAAGAAGCAAGCATATTGATTATTGATGTAAGGTATTATTTTCTACAAGATCTCAACAATGAAGGAATAATAGAGTTAAAATATTGCTGAAGTCTAGACCAACTAGCAGATATTTTCACAAAACCTCTCTAGTTACTTTCTTTCCAAAGCCTGATAAGATCATTAGGACTTAACACCATGGAATAAGTAAAGAAATTGGAGATAAACTGAAGCTTGAAAGCTTGTAATTTAAGGGAATACGTTAGGAAACGAAATGTATACATTTAGTTTGTCCTATTCTCTATAAAGTAGTTTTAAAGTGGGCTATTGTCGAGTTTTTAGGAGAAAATCTTGTGAGATGATTCCTAAATTTTAACTAAAGTTTTTCTCTGTGCTTTTGCTTATTAAACTGCATAGCAGCATTTTTATCCGCGAGTTGATAGATTTCTTTTCTATTATACTGCCAGTCTCTTCTCTATCGTCTTTTCGCTTACAGATTTCTCGAGGCTTATTTTTTCCTTATCAAAATTCACATCCTAAATGAAAAGCAATACATTGAAGCATAGAAAGGAATCAAATCAGAAACAAAAGTAACATCAATAAAATTCCAAATATGATGGCTCTATGTAAAGTCACTCTAGTTGAACCACCAAATTACAAGCCCTAATAGTTAAAGGAACAGTTAAAACTTGATGAGAAATCTCAGAATCACATTATCAACAATCAGATCTAAAGGAACGAATTAAGAAGAGAAAACTAAAAAGAGGAATTGAAGAAGCATACCCCACAATCAGAATCATGCCGAATGCGCTTGTGAGATCCAGCTACCAACCCAGCAATTGCCTCCATTTCTTTTCCTCAACAAACAGCTTAATCAGTCTTCATTAACTTCTGCTTCTTACCGTTCCGTTTTGTATGTTTCTCAGAATTTCTCCGTTTTAGTATTAAATTAAACCGGTACCCAGAAATGGGCTTTAGGTTTGTTTACAGGTACAAGATGCTTTTAAACTCTTTTAATGATTTACCATTTTAAAAAAAAAAAAAAAAACAATATGGACATCATTAATAAAATAAATAAATGAAATTATACTTGTAATACATTTTGAATTCAATACATTATACATATTGTAAGAATTTTACAATGCACATTGTGAATATATAATTAAGTATTTTTTATACAATACTATATTTTAACATCGTTAATAAGAGGAAAAAATAACAATTATAATATATTTAAATTCAATGTATAACAATTATAGTTATGTTTCAATGCACGTGTTGAATATATAACTAAAATATTTTTGATACAGATGTATTTTAAGTATTATGTGAATATTAAATGCTTCAGTATAATTTAAATTAATTTTACGTTGTTAAAATGTATTATATTTGTTGGAATAATAACAATCGAATTTATAACTATGTATAATATTAAATTTAAATTACTACAAAATACTTCTTATCTGACAAAACATTAATTTTGTCCTTCATATCAAAATATATATATATATATATATATAAATAAATAAGGATCTTCAATCAGCCTATGTGGCATGCCTCAATGATGAGAAAAATATATAATTTTTATTTTAACAAAAAGAGTTTTTTAGATTTTTTTTTACACAATAATATTATGTGTATATATATATATATTTCTATTAATAAATTAGTTAATGAGCATTACACCTTCTAACTCCTAACCTTTCATATTCATAACCTTCAAAATATTTAATAAAAAAATTATAACTCCTAAATATTACACCTATAAAAACCCACTTTGAGATATTCCATGATGGTCATTTTATTTTTATTTTCCTTATTCTTCATTTTTTATACCATTGATTTGTTAATTTTTATTTTTTTTGTCTTCTTTGATCTGATTTTTGCAGGAAAGGGATGTATAATGAAAAATGTTATATATTTTGCATATTTTAATTTTGTGAGGTAAAATGATTTGATATGTCTAATTATCATTAGCACTTTGTTTAGTTGTAATTACATATATATTTGATATTATTAGGTTGAGTTGTTGATGATACAAATCATTATTCTTTTATAGAAAAAATAATTTGTTCATTTTCTTTTTTGCTTCTCGTTGTAGTTTTTTGAGATTTTTTTTTCTTAATCTTGTAGTTTCTACCGACACTGATTGTCTTTATTCACTTAGTAAATTTGAAGAATCGTATATTTTAAATATTTTTGCTTGATTAGTTAATTAATTTTATGTATGTTTGCTGGTATTATTGTATGGATTGTTTATAGTTCTCCGGTTAAATCACTAATGTAACAAGAGTTGATTGGTTCTTTATCAGATTAATTAGTTAATTGAAAAAACGTCAATATATCTTATTTCTGATTGCGTCTAACAATATCATCCTCCTCACTAGCTATGAAATTGTTATACAAATATATAATAAATATAAGTAATAAAAAAAAGTAATATATCATATCTCAATATAAAGTAAATAAAATACTAAATATTAAATTCAAATATTATATAGCTAAGAATCAAATAAATCGATTCCTGTTATAGTTTCGTATCTCACAATCACATAACAATGATATGGTAAAAATACATAATTTTAACGTTGCATTATTTTTTATATTATTCATATATAATTATTATTTATAGGTCAAATGTTTCACAATTTTGAGAATTTAATCAGCAAAAAATTAAATATTTTTTAATTTTATTTTAAAACATTCGTACGATTACTTTTTTTTTTGGTTGATAATTTCAAAAGAAATTCTATTCCTTTTGACTAACTTTTTAATTCTGTGTCCCTTTTTAAATTTATTTTTAATTAATTTTTCTCTTAATAGATATCTCTCCTATAATATAAAATAAGAGAAAAAGTATATATTGTTCAAAATAATAGTAATTACTAAAAATAATGTTTATTAGAAGCATATTTGGAGACTTTTAATTATTTAAAAATTTTAAAATGAGGTAAAAAGAAAATATGTCATATAATAAAATAAATCATAAAAATGATGGAGGATTTTACTTAAACATATTTTTGTTTATTAAAAAAACATGTCACATTTTTTTTACATTTTTCTCTTATTTTTATATATTTATTTTTAATTTTATTTTTATCATAAACTCACACCTCTTCATCTTTCAAAACCTCTATACTTGATTAATACTTATTAGTAATACCTATAACTTCCAACTTTATACCTTCATAACCCCAAATTACTTAATGTTTAAATTTGTGACATCTTAAAATCACATCAAAAAAAATTTCTAACCAAATATATTTATGTTTAGCTTAATTGTCCTCTACTTTAATCTTGTAATGCAAAATTTATCGACAAAGACTTCTTTGTATAGTTATTTTTACTTCTAATAAGAATGATACAAAATAAGATATATAAAAGCGAATAATTGATTTGTTTTTTTCCATGAAATTATAAGAGCAAGATCATTACTTAAAGTAAGACAAAAACAATTCTTGAAAACATTAAAATGTATTTGTAGATACGCTCAGCGGCGGGAGATAATCAAAATTATTATGAAGTTATTTTTAAATTTTAAATAAAATATGAATCATGAAAAATATAATAAAAATTAATTAAGAGAATTCATTTAAACATTTTGCTTAAATTAATAAAAGGCTTAAGACAAGCTAACTTGATTATGTTAAGATTTGATGCTAATTGTTACTGTTTTACAAAAATATATATAAATTAGTAAAAATACTAAAGACGAGCAAACTTCATTCTCTTAATTACGATGCTAATTGTTTATGTTTTCTTAATAGAATTAAATAAGCAAAGACTAAAAAATAAAAAAAAATAAAAAATAAAAAAGGAGACTAAAAATAGCGTTGAAATAAAAAATTTTAAAAAAAACTTAAAATTATAGAAGAAAATTTATCAAGGAAAAAATTATTACAGATAATCATTTCAAATATACTTATTACTTAAACATTCATCCTCCATTATAATGATTTTAAAAATTTACTTAACTTTTTATCCTACACTTTAATTATAAGAAAATATTATTTATCGTTAATAATTATAAATATTCATATTATTTGTGAACGGTTTTTTTATGTTTACTTTATTCAGAAAAAATTCAAGAATCTAATTATAAGTTTTTTTTAATCTTAACATAAAACCTTTTATCATTCATCTATAATTGTTCATTTGTTACTTATATTATTATTCATTTTAACAATAATATATTATTTTTATGTTAATTCTATATCACTAAAAATTATTTTACCGAACTAAAATCATGTATCACCCATTTTCTTTCAAAAAATCAATTATACAGGGAACTTTATATCTTAATATATAAATATTGAATTGCTTTTTTTATGTCTTCAAATTATAGGTAGCTTATCTATTACGAATAATTTTTCATATTTCTAAGTCTGTTTTTGAATTTATTACTATTTTAATGCTTTTGATATTTTTTAAAAAATTTAAAAGACTAAAAATCTCACTTTAAATTTTTAACAAAACATCAAAGTTAGCCATATTTAATTTTGAGAACTCATTCAAATGGATAATGAAGTCATAAATTCTTAATTATATATTATAACTAACATAAAATAATAGGTACTATTCAACCAAAAAAAGTATAGATATTTGACCGTACATGTATTTATTTTTTGATAAAATTAATTCATATATTGAGTTGAAATTACAAAGCTAAATGATAAAATTTATTAACAAATCTATTTGAATTTAAAAATTAAATAAAAATGAAAACTTTTAGATACCGCGCGGCTAAGTTTATTAGTTCAAAAATAAAAGATGAAAACGGAGGTTATATTTACAACTACATGAATAATCTCTAATGTAGTTAAACAAGAATTAATGATTTTGATGACTCTTCGTTTACGCTGTCATCATTTAAGTTTTCATTTGTTATTTATTGGAAATGAAAAAAGCTATGAACACACACAAAAAAATGGAGGTTACAACTACATGAATCATCTTTAATGTTGTCATGTTTACTTTAAGAATTTATATATAAAAATATTTTTAAAAATATTTTATAAAAAATATATAGGAAATTAAGGTGGAAAAAACTTGATTTTTTAAAATCTTTTGGATTAATTGGAGAAAAAATTGGGCTCCAAATATAAACTCTAAAATTTAAATAGTCATTCAAATGCATTTATATTTTTGAAATCTTACATTTCATCATTTATTACAAAGTTGTCATACGCAAACATTCAATAAGGAATAAAGATAAAATTATTTTATTTCTTAATGCAAGTGCAAATGAAAAAGGTGACATATAATATGGGATCGGAGGGGGGTGGGGGGACTATTAATTACTTCTTACTTATGGCTCAAGTTTACTTGTAGCACAAGTAATATCATGAATAATATTTAATGATAATAGATCTCATCCGTATATTGGTTATTTGACGGATATACCAAATTTAGTTTTAACCTTTATAAATTGGTCATCCCTTCACCTATTAGTGTTATAACATATAATCTACAATAATTTCATTGCTGATGGTCGTGATAACTTAAGTCTAGGCAAGGAGATAAAAATCAATTTACGATTAATGCTTTCGCTTTTCTTTGAGATAATGTCTTCCACGTCAAATATGTACCCTAATAATCTCTATGTAAGATAATCACATTTAAAATCCTGATATATATTAAAGTATTTAATCTTACATGTAGCATTAGAGGCAAGATTGTTTGAACGGATAATCTTCATATATAAAATAAATAAAAAATTATGTATTGGTCTTATCTTAGCGTTTGATGGCATGTATTGGTGACAAAACTACCCAGAGATCCTTTATAGGATTTGTGGTCTTATAATTAAAATATGTTTGAAGTAGATCTCTTTCCTCCAACCCATTTATAATTTTTAGGGAAAGCAAAAGTTGCAATGCCCAATATTTGTCCGGTACTGATTAGCTAGTTTGTTATATTAGTGCACCTTTGGTGCACATCCAAAAATTTGCATATCTTTAATTTTATC